CCCATGTTCCTCCCCAACCTCCTCATTGTCCGAATCTGCTGCCAGCTCTGCTGGCGGGCCACAACACCTGCTTGAGGAATCTAAGATTGGAGTAGAAAACCTCCAAGGTCCCTTCCAACATTGTTATTCCAGGGTCACGTGATCCTCTTAACAACTGAGGCAAGAAAGGTCATAAAATGGGCCAAAATTCACTTAACTCATGTCTCACTTTGAAACAGAAATTGGGGCTCAATTATGGTCATGTCAAGGACTACTGTACTTAAATCTTCTTTTTTTTCCTGCCCCGTAACCTACCTTTGGCGGTGCGTCCCACAAAAATGACAATGCAGATTGTGACCCCAAAGCCATGGCTTCACCTGTAAAGGAGAGAAGAGATAGATAGATGATAGATAGTTATGGATGATAGATAGATAGATAGATAGATAGATAGATAGATAGATAGATAGATAGATAGATAGGAGATAGATAGATAGATAGATAGACAGACAGACAGACAGACAGAAATAGAAGATAGATGGATAGATAGATATAGATGATAGATAGAAAATAGATATAGATGATAGATAGACGATAAATAGTAAATAGATATAGATGGTAGTAGATAGATGGATAGATAGATATAGATGATAGATAGATATAGATAGATAGACAGACGGACTCTCTAGCTGGGGGTCTGGGGTCTAACCAGGCCAGTAGAGCTGCACTTGGATTAGAGCATGGGTGGTAGAATCACCTCTGCCCCCCCTTCTTTAACCCTGGAGGGGCTCAAAGCCCTGCACAGCCCAAAGGAATCCCAAGTCCAAGCAAGAGATCCTTGTTTAAGGGGGTTTAGAGGCGCTCGGCTTCTGAGAGAAGGACAAGGCACTCTGCACACGCCCCGGGCTGCTCAGCCTTTAGATGCTGTTTTGCAGGGAGGGTTCTGTCCCCCGAATTGCAGGTTGCATCTGGGCGGCTTTTCTCTCCTCTTCCTTCCTTCGCTCCTCCGCTTCCCCCATCCGCACAGTGGATGATGGGGATGATGGGGTTGCAGTCCATCCCCCCAGGACCTAAACGGACACCCCCCCCCCCCGCGGTCGCCGCTCTCTTGCACCGAGCTTGTGGGAGGCAGAGCTAGGGGGCTGCCCATGCTCCCCTGCCTCCGCAGAGCCTTGCAAAATTGGGCTAAGGAATGGGACCGTCATCCTTTTGCACGGGGGGGGGGCGTCGAGACCCTCCCGCCGCTGCGCCCACCTTCGCCCCAAGATCCCAGCGCGAGCAGACAGAGGGCCGTGCAAACGCTGGTAGGAAGGTACTTCCGGTTCCCCTTCGACGCGGGCGGGGCGCCGTCGTCGATAGGGAAGTTTTGCCGCAGCAATGATCGCGGGGCCGGCGGGAGGACTATAATTTCGAACCCTCACGATGATCGGCAGATCCAAGAGGGCAGGAAAAGAGGGGTTGGGGAGGAAAGGGATCTATCTATCTATCTATCTATCTATCTATCTATCTATCTATCTATCTATCTATCTATCTATCTATCTATCTATCTATCTATCTATCTATCNTCTCCGGCGCCTGCTCAGTTTTTCCTCTGACGCCAGGAAGGTTGCCAGGACTTTGGCTTTCCCTGAGGGAGCCGCCTAATGGATTCCACTTGTATAGCAGACGGGGAGGGGGGGTTGTTCCCCAGTTTTAAAAAATAAAACAAATGAGGATTTTTTTTAAAAAAAATGGCTTAATGATGGTATAAAATACATTGTTCATTTCATCAAAGTGCATGCCGCTTATATAGTAAGATTCAAAATCACAAATTAATAAATAAAAACAACAAACCCAGGAGTGGGTTCTTGCCAGTTCTAATCTCTTCTATAGAAGAGGTTCCACAAATCTACAATGCCATTTAGAGGGGGAATTCTGGGAGTTGAAGTCCACAAGTCTTAAAGCTGTCAAGTTTGAACACCATGGGCTTTTTTTCCCTAAAGGGTTAGGGGTGCAAGGATCTTATAACTTGACAGCTTTAAGACTTGCGTGCTTCAAATGCCAGAGTTTCTGAGCCAACATTTTGGTTGCTAAGAACGTTAAGTGAGTTTCACCACGTTTTACAAGTTGTCCACACCCACCCAGTCACATGACTGCCAAGCCACTCCCACTCAGTCATATGGCCAGCAAGCCATTCCCACCCAGTCACATGGCCGACAAGCCATTCCCACAAAGCAGGCCACACCTACAGAAGAGGTTCTAAAAATTTTTGAAACCCACCACTAAACAAACCAGAAATTGATAAGATGCACATCTCCCAATCATTGCCATGGGGTAACTGCATCTATTGCAGTGGTAGGTTCCTACTGGTCCGGACCGGTTTAGCTGAATATGTAGTAGTTTGGCGGCCTCAGTTGCTGGAACCAGCAGTGACCCAGGCCTGCCATGCCCCTGAACCGGTTCTCCCGCCGGTGCTGTAGGCACCGCCATCTTGTTTTTTACTTCTGCACATGTGTAGAGCAATTTTTAATCACACTGTGCATGCGCACACCAAACCTGCACATGGAACAGCCGTAAGTGAACCGAAAAATACAGTAATTAGCTTTGGAGGGTGTGTGTGTCGTTGTAACGTCCCTCATTAAGGGACCAGTTGTAAAGACTATGTATCTTTCTCTCGCCTATCCATCCATCCATCCATCAATCAATCTATCATCTAGCAATATCACCTACTATCTATCTCACCTATCATCTCCATCCTTTTATCTGCCACCCATCTTAACTAACTACTCTGGGCTGCTAATGAAACAAAGGGAGGGATCAATATTGATTCCAAACATGCTTTATTCATAAATGTCTTGAATAGAAAACTTCACTTCCGTTTCTCACTTCCTGTTTAGTGTTGAAACACTTCATTTATTCTCAAACATGCTTTATGTCCATCATGTATTGTTTCTACACTTCTTGTATTTGTTAAAGACTGTAAAGTCTGTATCACAATGTAAGCATCCTTCCCCCCTATTCATTAGGCACATGAGTTATTTTGTTAAGTTTATTCTTCCAACAGAAACTCTCCATACACTTGGGAACTCTAATATTATTTGCTTTATTCAGTTATTAATATCTGAATTATTGCAATGGTTCGTACAGCTATCAGTGGAACAGTCTTGGATCGCTAAAAGGTGAATTTTAGAATTGCAGAGGGGTTAAAAAAAACCAAGATGGCAGTTGTGCCTATCATAGAGTGCAGAGGAGAGCAACCAAGATGATTAGGGGACTGAAGACAGTTGCAGGTATGGGGATTACTCTAGTGAAAAGAAGGTCTAGGGCTGACAGTATAACACTGTTCAAATATTTGAGGGGCTGCCATAAAGAAGAGGGGGTCAACCTATTTTCCAAATCACCTGAAGGCAGAACAAGGAGCAATGGATGGAAACTCATCAAGGAAAGAAGCAACCTAGAACTAAGCAGAAATTTCCTGATGGAACAATTAATAAGTTGAATGGCTTGCCTCCAGAAGTTATTGGTATTGGAGGTTTTTAAGAAGAGATTGGACAACCATTTGTCCGAAATGGTACATGGTCCCCAGCTTGAGCAGGGGTTTGGACTAGAAGACCTCTAAGCTCCCTTCTAGTTCTGTTATTGTGTTATAGGGCACATGCGATGCACAGGCCAAGTGACAGGGCTTTAAACATGGGTCTGCAATCCCCATCATTATTTTTTTGACCCGCTCCCCAGATGTTCGATCTCATTTTCATTGCAGTTTCTGAACTCTTTCGGAGTTTGTAACATCTGAATCGTTTTACACCGATGGGATTCAAAAACTGCATTTCTTCAAAGGCTCTTTTGCGCTCCAAGGACTGAGAGGGTTTTTCTCTCTGTGTGGATTCTCTCATGATAAGTGAGGTTTTTCTTACATGAATAGCTCTTTCGGCACACAAAACACGCGTACGGTTTCACCCCTCGGTGAATCTTTTTATGGATGCTGAGGCTGGTGCTCTGACTGAAGCTCTTTCCGCAGTCCAGGCATTTGTAGGGTTTCTCTCCCGTGTGGGTCCTTTCATGGCAATTCAGGTAAGTTCTGCTGCTGAACGTCTTCTCGCACACAGAGCACTGGTACGGTTTCTCTCC